AACATTATTACAATCTTTGAAAACGGTCTTATAAGAAATCTTTGGTACCATCAAAGATGAAAACAGTGAAGAATGGTAACTGAGAGGTAACAAAACAAAATTCATAATTTGTAAACAGATTATGTTTATCATCAATAATCTCCATGTCAAATTCATCTAAGTTTTTCTCAGTCCATTAACCCTACCAGACTGCTGGCCCCATTTACTGGGAATTTCTTAACGCTATACCGCTGGCCATATTTTTTGGCTTTTTGCGTAGTATGGGAAAACAATGAGTCACAGCCTAAAAATAACTAGCCAATCGTAATCAGATCTCGTGGATAGTCTTCCTAGATGTCCGCCTGCATGTGTTTGGATAAAATTTGTGTTGTTTTACATGAAAAAATTATGAAAATTCACTCAAAAAACGAGCGGCTGATGAACCAAGTGCTTCGACAGGAAAGTTAAGTAGGTCTAGACTTTTACAGTCCACTAGGTGATTGATACTTTAGTTGATTCAGACTGCAGAGTCATTATTTCATGGAGAATATGTTCACAGTTGAAATGACACCATCAGGTTAATAATGAGGAAAATCTTGAAAATTATCAATCTAGAAACAGATCGATAGTAAGAGAATAGGGTGTGTCCCTCAAACAGCAACATCTAGTGCGCACTTTGTGAAACAATCCTAATCCTCCTAAGTGGATTGGCACACAAATGTGGAATGTTGGCACTAGAAAAAAAGATAAACCTATTTTCTACAATGTCTCTAAGTTTCATCTTATTCTAGCCAATTGTTTGCATGTAACTAATATTTGTGTATATCATATTGGCTTTTTTCGCATTTATGCCCAGGATCTCAGGTATATGGGTCAGTTAGATTCAAGGCCTCAGGTCTGGTAGGGTTAACTGATGTTCTCTATACATCTGTAACAGTGTCTTTTTTCCTTGCACTTCCCTTTCCACACATCTTTTGACAAGAAGCAGTGACCTTTTAGATCTCTAAAGTATCTTAACTATCTGAACTTGATATCATTCAGTAAAATCGTCTGAACTTGATATCATTCAGTAATATCTTTCTCCAAATCCTACTCGCCTGACAGTCTTGCAGTTGAATTTACATCAAGGTGCATTATTTAACTTACAGAAGGCTCTCAAGTTGGCCTGTCCCAAACTTGGTATCGCAAGGTGACCTAGGAAGTAGAGGAGGCTGATGAGATGTTGACCATATCACATACTGAATTCTACTATTTAAAATCTGGGTTCATCTGGGGAGAAACTCAGCATAACAGCATTCAGAACAAGCCCATATAAGCTGTGTATCCCTCCTTAACAAGCAGCGAAGAGTCTCCATACTAACTGGATCTGGTTAGCTACTCATCTTGCCATTTCTGCCATGTCTTCAGTGGCACCCACAGCGTGCAGACACTCCCCTCCTCCCCACCACCCAGCATTATTCTCTCCAGGTACGGGTTTTCAGTATCTTCCATTTTACTTGTTATCTCATCCTACAACAGAGAGGACTCTGGCTTGTGCAGTTGCCAGAAAACTAGTCAATACAAATATTGGTCTGCCATAAGGTACTGATGTTCCTGTGCTAGAAAAAGATCCTTTGATTTCTTTTTCTTCAGCTTGGCGATGACCCTTTTTGACTAATAAGTCACTTTCAAAAATGCACAAAGTTGAGACGGCTAGCAAGGTGTGGGCTGTACCTCATTTTCCAGCCTGCAGGGTTAGGATGAGCTAGTCTCTCTTGAGGGGTGTCAAGCAAATATCAGTTGTTTGCAAAGTGCTAATGGAACACACAAATCAACCCCAGCTACAAGTGGTGTAGATTGGACAACTGTGAGCAGACCATGGGCCAATAGAGCCCTGTGTTAGGTAGGAGAATGGACTCTACCAGGTATTTTTATTCATTTATTTATTTTAAGCCTTAACCTGTGACTTGTTAGCAACACAGGTCCTTTATTTGTTTGTTTTTTAAATTTGTATATACCTGATATTCATATTATGTACATTGTTATACGTACATAACATACTTTACAGATCAAATGCAACTGCTAGTGAAATATGAAAGTAGAAGGGCATAACATACTTTACAAATCAAATGCAACTGCTGTGTGAAATATGAAAGTAGAAGGGCCTGCACGCCCAATTTGTTACCCTTTGAAAATAATGTTCATTCACTCATTTGTTAATTCTACTGCTAAAAGAAATGGAAGGAAACAGAAGGAAGAGAAAATTATGGTGCAGATTATTATCAAAAAGATACTATCATTACTCAAGAGCCTATAACACATTCCACAAAAACTGTTAATATATTACCAATTCTGCAAGACTTGGAATTCTTAAGAAGTTCTCCATCTTTATACCAGCTGATTCGTGGTGGTGGATAACCTTTGACTTTCACCCGGAACTTGACACTTTGACCCTCTGTGACATCAACATCTTTTAGGCCCTTTAAGAATTCTGGTTTTTTCAATTCCTGCTTGTTGTCTAAATAAATAAAAAAATATAAAAGAAAAATTAAAATACTATTCCTAAGCAAATTCTAGATACTCTGTTCAACCTCTACAGAAGGTATAATTGTTGCACTTAAAATGACTACACAAGCCCAGTGTTACCTGCAAGTCTGTGCAGGTGACGTATGAGTGTGAGTTCTCTTGCTCTTGTATGAGTTCTTCTCGTATGAGTCTGAACATTTTGCACTGGGCATTTGTCATACTATGATCTGAACTTGTTATTCTTCTTTCTCTAGTCTGTCTTCACAGACTGCTTTGAGAGTGAGAGTGTCATTGTCTCTAAGAAGCACAGAGGTGGGTTGGGCTACTCTAGGTTCCCTGCAGTCTATGCAAGCTTGTCGCTGTATTCAAACAAAACGTCCAAACCATTTTGCTCTATATCTTCTTTCTGTATCCGACATAAGCTATTACTTATCTAATACCAAAAATTGTCAGTACTGACTGAATGGACACCAGTAAATGTTGAAATGAAAAAATAGGAAAAGGTGAACAAAGAAGCTAAGAAATGCAAAACAATTAAATAACCAAACAAAGTAGCTCTGAGTAAAGATGATTCTAAACCAGCAATTAAAAAAAAATATTTTTTTAAAAGCTGCTGAATCACAGCTTGAAAGGAAGAACAAATTGATAAAAGCTCCAACAAGAATTTGTCAAGTAAGAATTAGCTTTACAGTTCTCGAAACAACAACAAAATTACTAATAATACAACTTTCTTTTGTTTTACTTTGAGGGACGCTAAATGTGCTGAATGGCAGAAGCATAATAGTATGGAAAAACAATGTACTCAAATGCAAGAAATATGAGCCGCAAAGGTTAGGACTAATATAGGAACCACCACAAAAAGCATATGGCAATGGAAAACACTGTAAAGATAAGACAGCTCTAGAGAACTGAATGATGATATATGCGAAAGCATACATACATCTGATATGCAAACATTTTTACAACAAAACTGCTTACACCGACACCAAACATGTTCACAATTCATACAACACATTGCCAAGATTTGAAAAGAAATCACCTCTGACGGTCACAACCAAGTACTGGATAGCCTTGCCCTGCTGGTTCAGTGCGATACACATGTACTGGCCGGCCATTTGTTTACTGGTGTTATATATGGTAATACTGTGCTTATCTCCACTGCTGGAGATTTCAACATCCTCCGACTCCTCCAGTTCCTCAACTTCATCACCCTCTCTATACCAAAACACATCTGGAGAAGATCAAAGATATTTTAAACATAGCATTTAGGATTATGTTAACAGTCAATAAATTATCACAGCTGTTGATATCTGTATAAATTAAGTGGTTAAACTACAATAAACTTGTGAAAATGTAAACAATAATAAGGACTCGTATTATTTTGTTTCTTACTGCTGTTTGATGGCAAAGATTAAACAGAACATTACAAGAACAAAAATTACCATACAAGGGACCAATATTTCAATGCAATGCCTTAATTTTAAGTCATAAATTGAACAGTTTAAAAAAATGCAACATACTAAAAGTTAAAATCATTACCTGAAAAGCTGTAAATATACTAAAATAGAAGTAGCATAATGTTGCTCAATCATGAATATGCCATTTACAGCAATTTAACAGTGGCCTGTCCCAGAGAGGTCTAGTTTTCGGTGTTAAGAGAAAAGAGAAGTACCTGGGGGTTCATAGCGAAAGCTAATGGAAAATCTTTAGTGCAAGACAGCCTACACTACAACATCTAGCATGAGAATGGAGGTGGAGGCGGTAACTGCAGCTCTCCGCTGGCTAGAGAACAAAATGCTGACACATGTCATAATTTTAACAGACCCTGAAAGCATGCTGAGAAAGGTCAAGACAGGGATGCTTTGAGCAGAGTGGCAAGCTTCACTGGAAAAGTCACAGGTAGTAAGCATACTTTGCATCTTTTCTCCAGTCGATGCTGGTGTGGTGGGTAATGAACAGGCAGACAGATTGGCTGGATCTGAATTGATACATGACAATGCAGATGTGGTCAAGGTCCTTTGGGGATAAGCAATGGAATTAGTAGAAACAGATGATTATTATAGCCTGGAGTGAATGAGGCACCTGGGTGTAACCAGAGAGTCTGGCCAGCTCACTACACTCAGAGGAAAGGCAAGACGGACATATAACCAGATTATGACCAGTACCATCATTATTGGAACTCTGCACTGGCTGCTGAAGATGAGGATGGAGCATGCATGGGTATGCCCCGAGTGCTGCGATGTCAATTCTTGACTTAACTCAACTCAACACAGAGAAGCCTAGTTAACGCTGCTGGTTGTCACTGTGCCAGAGTGGTATTTAGGAGGTCTGTGTATGAATATATTTGCTAAAAAATAGCATTATATTACATTAATCCTACTACCATTAGCAATATCTGCTGCTGGTACTACCTCCAATTTCAACTACTACTACTAAAAATAAAACAGTATCTGCTGCTGCTACTTCTAATTTGTACTACAGCTACATTGACCACAAATAAAGTAGCTCTTCCATACCAATAGGTGCTGTTCCTGCCACTTTGCATGAGAATTTCACAGGATCCCCTTCTTGTACTGTGACACTTTCTGGAGCAACCAAAAACTTTGGATCATCATTTTCAGCTGGGACTAGGTCCTGCAACAACTTCAAGTCTTGCCTGCTTGGCTCTACAATAGGTCCTGGTATGTGGATGCCATCAATGTCATCTGGAGAAAAAAAATGTTAACTGAAATCATAGGTGGCATCCGTGGCATAGGTGTTGCGAGTCTGACTCATAATTCCAACGTACCACGATCGAAATCCACTGCTGGCTGTATGGATTTTTATCATGGTATGGGGTGTTGTAGGTTGACCCAGCCTAAAATGATGTATGTCCTAGGGAGTAAATACAGCCAGCATAATGCTGACCACATTACCCACCGACTGCCGATTTGTCTGTAAAAATATGGGTGCTCTTCCCATATGCCCAATGCACCTAAAGGCGTGAAAAGGGATCTTTCCTTTTTTTTTTTTTTATATATATATACTGAAATCATGAAATGATACAGTAAAAACATATACTAAAAAGTAACACTAATTTATACCAAAGAATAATACTGATAATTCCGGGAAGGCTAGCCCGGGCAACAAATGCCTGCAGAAGTCGGATGTTTCAGCCGAAAGGTGCAAATATGTTGCAAATGGGCACAGCACATTTACATCCTTGCATGAACAAAGAAAAAGCAGATACTGCTAAATTAGAACAAGTAATAACATAAATAGTTTACATCAAAAAATGAAAGTCATGGTGACACAGTGGCTAAATGCTCACCTGCCAGCCTGAAGGTCTTGGGTTCAAATCCACCTTTAGTTGGCACATAGTGTTGTGTCTTACAGCTGTGCTGGATTATCTACACATTTTAGCCCAACAAAGGAAATCAGTAAAAGAATTTTTTTTCTTTAAAAAATGACCATGATTCTCAAGTCAACCCAGCTCTAAATGGTTACCAGGTTAAGTCCTGGGAAATAAAGGTGGCCAGCGTGATGCTGACCACATCATTCATCGAATGCTGATTGGTCGATACAATACAGGTCTAGCTTTTTATGGCCAATATGACTGAAAGCAAGGGAAATGATCCTTTACTTGATAAATTCCCTTTTACTACCGCTTGTTAAGTAGACGCCCTGGCTAACAGTGTGACTATCAGGAATGGGCCACCTATGTACAGGAGAGACACTACCGCTTGTTAAGTAGACGCCCTGGCTGACAGTGTGACTATCAGGAATGGGCCACCTATGAACAGGAGAGACACTACCGCTTGTTAAGTAGACGCCCTGGCTGGCAGTGCGACTATCAGGAATGGGCCACTTATGTACAGGAGAGACATCATCAATGCCATCCGAGAGACTAAATGCTGTGAGTCTTTCAGTTTTTGGAAAATGATTTTTCATTGTATAGACTGCATACCCTGGGTGTGTGTACCAACTGGAGCTGCAAGACAGGAAAATCAGGCGGGGTCCAGCCGTCATTACATTAACCAGAATGGAATGGGAGCTGTAAGCCTAAAAACACTTGGAGACACTGTCAGAAGGAGATCGCAGCGCTTACGATCATGTCAATGTGCAACAAAGATGATCTTAATATGAACATTTAACAATGAACAATTAAAGAAAAAGAGTGTCTTTTTTTCTGTCCAAACTGGGGCCTCATAACAGAAAGAAAAAATGTATCACACAATAATTTACTGTTTTCTTCTTCTTCTTTGCGTTCACCAGCTGTACACTCTGGCAGAAAGTTCTGGTTGCTCGTCCATTACTGAACTGGAGTCCTGCTCCAGAACCTGAGTGTTGCATGTGCATCAGTTTTACAGATCTCATTCTCTTGAATACAGACTGTTGGTTCCTTGCCTCTCCGGCAGATGCACTCCGACTTCAAAGGAAGCTCCCCAATTAGTCGACTCTTACAACATGCTTTTGGGGAGGCAGTGGATCTTTTCCTGTTTTCCCCACAATGGGACCCCGGAACCCACACGGGGGATTTACTGTTTTATATGTATAAGTATAAGCGTCAAGGAACAGATTATAAACAGATTATAAACAGCATATTCATATCAACACTGTGCTATCAGTGCCAGACTTAGTCATTATCAAAGGCTAACCTACACAAAATTGAAACCTGTGGAATGAGATGCCTGAGAAAAGCTGTCAAAACCATCCAAGACAAAGTTAGAAATGATATAATCAGACAGACAGTAGGATCAACACCATGCAGCAAATTCATTGAAAAAAATGGAAGATCAAATGGTTTGGTCATTGAGTAAGAATGCAGCCAGAACAACTACCAACACAGGCGCCACACAAAACAAGATCTGAAGTGAAAGCAAGAAGCAGCCCTAGGCAAAGATGGATTTATGATATTAAAGAGCTTCTACATCGACACGGAATGAAAATAGCCACTGCTGCCCATCAAGCAATGGATCGCAAACTGTTCCTCCCCACAACGCTCAATAGCAGAAGTGGAAATTGATGATGATGATATATTGCTTCAGACAGGAATAGTTAATAATTAAAAAAAGTGCTGCCTGCAGCACACACATACACATGCACGCACATACACATGCACACATACATACATACACAAAGTAAACAGTGCAATAATTTTCCTTAAACATTATCAAGTTAATACCTGTAGCTACACTTTCATATAACTGCTCAGCTTTTCGCCGGTTTGGCTTGCCATCAATTTCAGAATTATCGCTGTAACTTCCTGAAGACAGTCGTTTGAAGCCACCAGCCCGTTTGTGCTGCCCTGAGATTCTGGCTAATTCTTCTGATGTGTTTGCATAGAAAGTGTTCTCTTCATCATCCGAGCCATCCAGGTCACCTCTGCCAAGGAGATCATGTTCAGAGAATTCACTCAGCTGATCAATATCCCTGTTGGTTGAAAAAGAAAATAAATCAGCTTTGGCTACAAATGGCAGTCTAGCTTTGATAGATATTAACAATACCAAGTAATGAATAATGCACTGAATTATTATTCTCTATATGGTATGCATTAAAAGTCGATGGTAGACACCAGCAAGGAAATAAAATTTTAATTTTGAGAGCATGCATCTTACCTGTAGCAACAGTGAAAGAGAACAGAGCATCTGTATCTGGACAGTGGTTAAGCTGCGAGTGAGGATGATTTTTATACCAGAAAGAGAAACAACAGGTGGATTTGTAATAATGTTGCAGCTGGCACCATCAGTATGGCAACTCTTCTTGGCTACTGAGAACAGGGACAGAGCAAGTATGAGAATTTCCAGAGTGCAGTGCTATCAATTCTTGATTAATTAATGTTAGATATATGTTTTTCATATATCATGAGTGATGATAACTATTTTTCATCCAAAGTAGAAATGATCAATGATTATGAGTACGAAGGTGGCTCATTATTCCAATATGAGCCCAGAAAGTTTTTGAGCAGTGTAGGACAACAGGTTAAAGCTGCAGTAAGTGTTGGATTAGCAGTACAGTTCTTTCCAGTCTGCCTGTGCAACCTTCGCTGCCTGGCAGGCCGATGCACCATGCCTGAGGGATGTACGCCATCTATAGCAGTCTTCAGCAGCAGCCTCCCACGTCACTGTGTTGATACAAAAAGAATTGAGACCAGCCTTAGAGTGTCTTTATAGCGCTTTTTCTTTCCTCCCTGGGACCTGTTCGTTTATTTGCTTGTTTTTCCGGTGCAGGAGCTTCACATAAAATACTCTCTTTGGGAGGTGATAGTCTGGCATGCGAGCCCAACACCGCTGATGACTCTTCAGCATCATCTGGGCTCTTCATTCACACCCAAAGACATATCTATGGCAACATATACATGTTCTGCTACCAAAATAAGAAGGGAGAAATGGTTAATTATTAAAATCTTATGACTTTGACCGTTATTTGATCTAGACATCTTCCAGGAGATATTCTGAGACTAAATTATTATGATCTAGCCACAGCTTAGCTGCCTCTTATGACATGTGTGGTATGTAACAGTATTACCATTCTTTGCTACCCTTGTTGTTCCAGGAACAAATGGGCAAATACGAGTCCCATGTGAAGTTAAAATGCTTACCTGTGACCTATTTTGGGTGCATAATGATCATCTGGTCTGGGTACCATCATGTAGAGAGAACCTTCAGAATCAAGACCAACTGTTTTCTTGCCAATATTTTCATAAGGTGAGACACCCTTACCCTGCCAAATGAACAGTATTGATGAAAAATTTAATTTATTACACACATACTAAACAAAAAACAAACTAAAAAGACACATACAACTTATGCAGTGCAACTTGCACATCAAACACTGAATAGTAACTGCAGCCAGTTTTGTCATTTTGTTCCTTCTTCTTCTGCTGTTTGCTTCTTATTTCTCTTCTTCTTATTATCATTGTTATTGCTCATGTTCATTGTACTCATGTTACTCTTCCTACCTTTACACAGCAAATACCACATAGTTTTATTCTATGACTTTGCCCCAGTGACCTAGAAAACAAAAAAAAACCAAGCTCTTGTAGCTTCCTTAACAAATTTACATCTCTCTCTCTCTCTCTCTCTCTCTCTCTCTCTCTCTCTCTCTCTCTCTCTCTCTCTCTCTCTCTCTCTCTCCCTCCCCCTCCCTCTCTCTCTCTCTCTCACACACACACACACACACACGTGCACGCGCAATTAATTTTTCATCCAAGGTGCTAAAATTTACTATAGAAAGTGAGGAGTAATTATTTTATTTTAAATGAAAGCAGCACAGAACTAACTGGCTTGTATCTCTTAATTCCTGTAAATTAAGTGTAGCCTGACCCTTACCTGACAGTCTGACCCGGTTGCCTGGTAACCATTGTAACCAATGTGAGAAACATGACACAGATTTGTCTATAAATAAAGTCACTGTTTTTAACAGAAACTTCCGCCCACCTTCCCCCGCCCCCCCATGTTATTTTTAGTGAATTTAATTATACCCTGTCTTGACGTACATTTGTGCAGAAGCAGATGCAATGAATTCTTCTGTTAGCTAGACGTCTAATAAACATGTCTCTATAGTGAGTCAGGAAAGCGGCTCTTAGGGGGGGTTATGGCACTATCTGGAAAAGTTGCCTCAGCAAAATGTTAACGGTCTGAACAAATACAGTCACATGGCAAGGATTGAGACTGGTGTCTAGGTGGTACAGAAACTCTCACCTCTCTTGTGCCGATGCTTCCTGCACAGTTTTAATTGTGTCAGTGAGCAACTAAAATCCTTCTTTGCATATAGTAGCCATTAACTCCTCATGCAGTAGTGTGAATGTTAGAATTCTTCTGCTGACCTCAGGTGTATGCTTGTGTTTAATTCATTATTATCATCTTCACCATTATCATCACCATCACTACCACAATCACCACCATCATTATTATCATCATCATCATCACCATCACTTTCATCATCATCCTCACTACCACCACCATTATTGTTATCATCACCACCACCATTATTGTTATCACCACCACCATCATCACCACCACCACTACCACCACCACCACCACCACCAGCAGCAGCATCACCATCATCATCATCATCATCATCATCATCATTATCATCATCATCACCATGATATTTATCACCACCATCATCATTATTATCATCATCACCATGTTGTCACATTTATAAAATTAATTAATTTTTTCTTGCACAGCATTTTTTTTTTTCATAACCCAGTCACCAGTTAGGTCAAATAACAGCGGATAAAATACATCCCTAATTCATTCCAGTTTCTACATCAAACCAGTCACTTAAACCATCATCTGTGTATACTGCACACTCTGAGCCTTCATACAATGCTTTAATAATGTTTATTATTTCACTGGTATACCACAACATCGGAAGATTTCCCCCAGTGATGATCTGTGTAACCTATCAAATGCCTTATTCTGTCTCAGCTGCTGAAATATTTTGCATGCGTTTGTAATAAAGCCATACTATATCATTTTTCAAAGTGTTCATGTCTGACTGGAGAAAATACTGACTGTAATCATCTTGTAAATAAGTGCACACGATTTCAATACAACAAGGGATGCATGGCAGAACACTAAAATTAAGTGAAACAAGCAGGATTTTTTTAAATCTTTATGAAGTAAAGGTGTGTTTAAAATATGAATGCAGTATCAAAGAAAATAATTAACTTCATAGAGAAAGCAACTGCTAATCAACTATTATAGTATATGTCTTTATGAATGCTCATTTCACAAACAAAGAGAATAATAGTATGTGTGCAAAGTCTGGATTTTGTTGTGAAATATAAAAAAAATGTGTTATTTTTATTTTATAAGAGGTAATAGCATTTGTTATTTTCCCAACTAAACAAGTGCTAATGCCTTCTTAGAGTGAAAAAAAAAGAAAAAAAGTTATGATCATCTTTTGGAGTTATTTAGTAACATTTCTTATTTTGTTTATTTCTATGTATAATTCTGTTTATGTAATTCAGAAGATAGCAACTTAGTTGTACATTTATTGTAACAAAAGTGAGTCATCTGCTTTAATTTTAGAATGGTGACAAAACAGAATGACCATGATAAAGGTCATCCTATACCGGCCCTTACAAGCATAGGGCTGCAGGTCACACCTGGCTGGCGTAGCTGTTACAGGTGCCCTACTTATTACTTCTTTATAGGTTGAACAGGGTATCTGGGATCTGCCTTTGGTCTGCATATTAACAGAAGATGGAAGACTCGATAAAGAGATACAGGCTAGAGTTCAAAAAGCCAATGCAGTCAACTACCAACTGGCCCCACTTCTTCGTCATCCAGAAATCTCATTACCAGCCAAACAACGGATGATCAACAGCATTTTCATCCCTACGTTATGTTATCAGTGCCAAACGTGGACAATGAACAAATCACATATGCAAAAAATAACTAGGTGTGAAATGCGATGTCTTCGAAGAGTCACCAACAATACACGAAAAGACAGAGTCACAACCGTCAGCATCAGAGACAAAGTTGGAACAAGAGCATTCATGGAACATATTAAAAGACAGAGAATGAAGTGGTTTGGCCATTTAGTAAGAATGCAACCGGATCAGATTGCCTATAAGGCCTTTTACAGTAGAACATCGGGAAGAAAGGCCAGAGGAAGACCCAGGAAAAATGGAGTAGCTGAATATGGCCAGAAGATCCAGAAAACTGTCACTCAAATCACACGAGAGGCACAAAACAAATATTTTAAACCACGACACTGGGCTGCAACCCGGTAAAAGTGAAGAAGACAATAGATAGATAGATAGATAGTAAACACTTAGGTAACATCCAAGATAGCACAAACTGATTTACCCATCGACTGAGGGAGAGTTTAAAAAACCACCCACTGCTGAATAAGAAGAAATCCCATGACTATTTGTAAGAGCCTGAATCAATCTAAAAAATGTCCGTAAAATAAAAATAATCTGGCTTCTGCTGGATAATGAACCCAGACCACTATCGTGGCAGTCAACTACACTAACTGCAATGCCACAGAGGCTTCTGTCAAATAGACACATCTTGTAAATAAAAACAAATACATTGTCAGGTTTTTTTTCAGTGTGTTCTGCCAAACTAAGAAGTACAATCACATATGGCACAATGTATGTTTGTGGGTCAACAAGGCCAATCATGTTTTAGTTGACCTACACCTACCAGATCTCAGACATTGCATTGTTTTTGCACTCCATATAATTCTCACCTTGACACAGTTATCAGGCCACACAGTTCTCACATCAAATAATTCTTTTCTACATAAATTTCTTACACAACACAGTTCTCACACCAGACAATTCTCACATGTTTTCATACAACCCAGCTCATTCAACCCACAGTTTACACTTCCACAAAATTCTCACATGATATACCTGTCACACCACACAGTTTTCAAAACAAACAGATCTCACACCATACAGACTTCATAACACACAGTTGTCATACAACAGTTCTCACATACCCCACAGAATCATAAGTTCAAGAAATGATTCATGACAATTCCCGCCCAAGTGATGTGATTATTTATACAGATGGCTCTGTGTTGAGAGGCAGACAAAGTACATAGGGGTATATAATTAAAGCGAATGGACATCGCTTAATGCAACAGTTGAGTTGAGTTAAGAATTGACATCACAGTATCGGGGCATTCCCATACGCGCTCCGCCCCCATCCTCAGTAGCCAGCACAGAGTTCCAATACTAATGGTAACAGTCGTAGTCTGGTTTTATGCCCGTCTTGCCTTTCCTCTGAGCACAGTGTGCTGGCCCAACCCTCTGGTCACACCCAAGTCATCAAGTCACCCATCATTCTCTCTAGCCCATAATAATCTAGTTTCTCCTCTGATCTCGTTACATGTTCCCAAATGACTCTGACCACATCTGCTTTGGCATGCATCAAATTCACCACCCAGTGGAGCAGATCCAGCCAGTCTGTCTGCCTTTTCATTCTCCACAATGCCAGCATGACCTGGAGAAAAGATCCGAAGTATGCTCACTATCCATGACCTTGCAAGTGAAGCTTGCCACTCTGCTTGAAGCAATCCTGTCATAACCTTTTTCAGCATGCTATTAGAGTCTGTTACAATTACGACATGAGTATGTATCTTGTTCTCTAGCCATCGGCAAGCTGCAGTGACCGCCCCCATCTCCAATCTCATGCTAGATGTTGTGGTATCATATGTCAGGCTGCAATAATGCCTTGCATATGATATCACAACGTCTAGTTTGAGAATGATGGTGGCAGCAGTTACTGCTGTGTTCTGTTGGCTTGAGAATCAGCTTTACACATATGCCGCGAGACTAGCAGTGGAGAAAGGCATGCTCTGTGCAGAGGCAGCATCAATGAGGTCTGGTTAGTTAGCGTCCACTCCAGGTATGCTGGCGTGTTGGGAAATGAGCAGGCAGATAGACTGGCCGGCTCTGCATCACCTGGTGGTGAACTCATGTATGACAAATTAGGTATTGTGAGGGCCTTTGGGGGTGAAAGAACAGTGCAGAGGCACAGATAGATCATCACAGTCTGAGGAGAGTGGCGCTATGAGGAGTTACCAGGGGTTCTGGCAGATGATCAACACTCAGGGGAAGGGTGAGACGTATATACAATCAGACAGTTGGGGACGAAGCTCTTATGGAAGTGTCCTGAGTGCTATGATGTTGATTCTTCATTTGAAATTTAACATCCACAACTCCCACAGTCCATAATGCACACCTACAATTTGCACACACTACTCCTACTCACACCCACCCCCCTTTCTCATACACCCCATAGTGTTATCTCCCATCCCCCCACCCCCAAATCCCCCAGTTCTTACACACCTCCACATCCATCCCTCCAGTTCTCATACACCCCCACAATTCCTATATACTTTACTCTCTACGCTTATAATTTGATACATTATGATAAAATAGATTACCTTGAATAACCAATTCACTTTCCATCGCTGTGTTCATCCTCCTCTTCCTCCTGCTCCAGCTCCTCCTCTGTCTCTTCAGGAATAATGGCAAGATTCATTGACAGCAAATCTGGATCAATATCATCAGATGCAAAATCTATATTGTCAAACTGTGAAAAATCTGGCAGCACAGGCTGATAGTTCTGAATGCGGTCAAAAACAGAATATCTTGTGTGAAACTCCTCCCTTTCTTCATCTCGATCAATATTTGTTTTTAGAAAAGGTTCTTCTCGAGCTTCGCATAAACCAGAATCATCAAAAGGAATTGCTTTAATCTGCGGTCGTGTTCGAGTCTGCTTCACAAACGCTTTCAACTGCTCAAATTCCTTGACAATATCCGTTTCTTCATTTGAATTATAACTGTCAGCTTCATCACCATTAATTCCATTTATTTCAACTGCCTTATTAACAGCATGTGTAATATCACTCTTACGTCCTGTTTTACTGACTTTAATACAATCTTCATCTACTGCCTTTTTTCCTGGCAGTAAAGGAAAATCAACACTTTCTTCATCACTGAGGTCTCCTGTGTCACTGTGGATTGAATCTGACTTATGACTTAACACATGATGATTGCTGTGATTACCTCCATTAGGAAGTGTAATTTGTCCTGCTCTTTCTGAATTACTGGTAACACTGCTGTACCCATCTATATCATCAGTGTAAATGTTTTTGTTACTTTTGCGAAGATCATAGCTTGTGAGTTTGTCTTTCTGAATCCCCAGTATATTATCTTGGGTTTCAGTTCTCTGGTTTGTGAGATTGTTTTTCTCGTAATTATTGTTGTGTAGTAACTGCACAGTTTCATTCACTCCCTTGATGTGACTCTCCAGCAACTGAAACAATAAAAGTATAAAACAGTTAATGTAGACATTTAGTATTATTTTTTTTAAACATTGACACTGAAGGGTGTGGTGTGTGAGAACTGTTTGGTTTGTCAGAGCCATGGGATTTGTGGGAACTATATGTTGTGTGAGAACTGTGTGGTGTGTAATTTGGTACCATGGTGGCGCTGTGTTTAGAAGCTTGCAAGCCACCCTGAAGGTATTGAATTTTAATCAGCATTTGACCTGGGCTTCCAGGACAACCCAACCTATATAATAGAAATGTCCTTTAAAGCAAAAGGCCACTAGCGTGATGTTGACTCCATCATTTATCAAGTGCTGATTGGTCTATAAAACTATGGGTCTATCACTTTATGACTGATGCACCAATGGCCTGAAAGAGGTCTTTTTTTTTTTTTTTATTCAAATTTAATTGGCTAGAATTATCTGATTTCTAAATAACAAACAGAACCCAAAAAAAAAACTACAGATGTTTGATGATAACAATATACATTTAATCATGAATAGTACACAAAATGAAAATAACAACAATGATAATAAAAGTATAACAGCAATAAAAATGAATCGTTTTCTTCTTAGGGTTCATAATCTATAAATTCCGGCAGAAAGTTATGGATGTTTGACCACTTCTAGACTTTGGTCCAGTTCCAGAACTTCAGCTGTTTGCAGATCCTTCTGCCTGATTGCAATGATATTTTCTGCATTGATTAGTGTATTAGTAGATGGGTTTTGAAAAAGAATTGCTCTGTAAAAAGTAAATAGCATAAACAAAATGTATTGAACAATAGAGAGGATAATGAAAAATAACATTAAAATGATGGATAGTAGCAACAGCAAAGTAGAATAATGGAAATGACAATAAAGTAGAATAGCAATAACAATGATTAATTATAATATTAAAAGTAAAGAATAGCAGAAATAACAATAAGGAATAAGTTATAAAAACAATAACAACAAAGAATATCTGCAGAAGCATTATAAAAACAACAGTATTAACTCTCTGAGTCCCAGGGGGTTTAGCATCAGAGACCCAAGGGGTAGTCAAAAGAGATGTGAAATTGGCACATCATGTGTTCATTGGGCTTCTAGGTAGGAACCTATGACATATGATGTGTTCCTCAAAGAGTTAACAATAAAGAATAAAAACAAAATCAATAACAATGATAAATAGCAGCAATAGCAATGAAAATACATCAACAACAGTAAATGCACACTCTGAAGGGTCAAGTTCTTACCTTGGAAACCACAGCCTGTGCTATAAAATCTTCAAATGAGTTTTGATCTGAAGCAGAATCATCTGACAGTGAGGAGAGGTCTGACACAGCTTCATCTGATGTCTGTCAGCAAAAATAATAGAATATAACTGAAAGCATTCAATGCAGTGTTTTCTTCTTCTCTTTGTCCCTAAAAAGGCAGTAGACACATTGTTTCACAAATCTGTTTTATACAAGCAATAATACACAAGGATCCTAATCACTCCAGTGGTGCAGTTGGTCCAATCAGCACTTTATGGGTGATGTGCCCAAAATCACACTGGCCACCTTTGCTTCCCAGGACTATACCTAGTACACAATTTTGGCTGGGTTGATCAGAAAGCCACAGGAATTTTTTTTTAATTTAACTTGATGTAGATTGAAACCCAAAGCCTCTGGCCAGTAGTATTTGGCCCTCGTGACCCAACACATCCAATTTCAGCAAACTCCAATTTAGTCACCTTTTATGACATGCTTGGCCACATTAAAAGACATACAATGATTTTAAAAATCATACAGGAGGGAAAAGTCTAGGGCAAGAGAGCAAGAAGTAGACAAGATGACAGGTGGGAGGACAACATCAAGAGATGGACCAATAGCAGTCTGAGAGAGTGTACAACCCAGACAAGAGACGTAACTTCCTGTGTGGGTTCCGGGGTCCCATAGTGGGGAAAACAGAACAGACCCACTGCATCCACAACAAGCATGTCGTAAGAGTTAAATAATCAGGGGTTTCCTTTAAAGTCTGAGAGGCAAGGAACCAACAGTCTGCATACAATTAAGCAAGAATCTGTAAACCAAATGCACATTCAAAATGCAGGTCCTGAAACAAAGCTAAAATCTAGAAATGGACGAACAACCATGTATTTCCGCCAGGGTTTATAACCGGCAAACACAAACAAGAAGATACAGAACGTGTTGGAGATTCATTGCGGCCAACCTCTAATGTGGAGATGGCACCTGACTGATTTGATTGATGACATGCCTGTTAGCGGGCCAGTGGGTTTATTCTTTGTCCCCCAAAATGGACCTGCAGAACCCACACAGGAAAGCAATGCAGTTTACTTCTTCTTTTCTTTCTGCTTATTCTTTACTTCTTCTATTACGCTCTCAGGTGTCGAGGGAGATATAAGATGAGAGAAAATGTTTGAAAACGTGTGTCATCTACATAATAGATTCTGGCTATAGTGGATCTACTGCTTTCTTTAGGAATAGTAGATGCTGAGGCCCCAATCTCTTCCACAGGCCAACTCTCATACCACTGTCTAAAAGCCACATTGTCACCATGCACCCCACTGATAAGTGTAGGCAGTCATGTTATGCCATATCACACGATCGCCAGAATCACAAATCAGGTCAGAGCTCTTGTCTCATCCCGTTCAAATGGCTAAGCATGCAGGAATTTCTTCTCTCTTTAACTTTCCTTTGCTCTTTTTCCTTTAATTTTGCAGTTGCCACCAAGTTTTCAAGTCCATCCCTTCTCATAACTTGTGCAAAAAATACTGTCTGCCGATGTCTAATGCCAGTCCTTTCTTTTTTAACATACATACATACATACACACAAAACACATACTCAAGCACGTGAACAGATTCACAAATATAAACACACTCAAAAACAAACAAAACTACATGCTTCAATGCTTACAATAAAACACACACATAAACTAATATACATCCACATTTACATTAGTGAATACTTGTAGACAATAGACTACAGATGCTCTTACCAGATCCACAGTCTCCCCAATGAGCTCTTCAATGAATCGGGACACATTCTGCCTGACCTTTTGACCAGTATTTTCAGATGAATCTTCTGCCCCAAAGTCTGTTTTTAAAAAAAAGTTAAAGGTATTTTCAATTAATGAGGATCAGCTGCACTGCATCTGGTGTTACCCCATATGTGATAGTACCTCTTTTGCAGAGCTGCTGGAGGAAAGAGGAGGAGGGGGTTGCAAGATGAGCTCCGTTGTCAAGTATTTGTTTACAATGTTTAACCTGCTGACAGCAAAGCATAAAGCACTAAACCTGTAGCTAAAGTAGCATCACCCAGGCAGCTACAAAACACTTGCATGACACCCAGTTATCTATAAAACATTTTCATAATGCCAAGATATCTACAAAAACACCTGCATGACATCCAGACATCTACAAAACACCTGCTCGACACCCAGACATCTACAAAACACCCGCATGATGCCCAGACATTTATGGACATGCATATGTGCATGTCTTATGTCATTGAGGTTCACACATACACACAACCATATGAAACATATACATATATATGCACATATGTGCATGCGTGCGTGTGTGCGTGTGTGTTTGGAAGGGAGGTGACGGTGGTGTATCTATTTTTTTTTTTAATTCTAATATGTGTGTTTGTGTGTTGTAATCTTTTACACCTGTTTTGTGTTATGTTATGATGAATGTGCACAAGTATATATATTGGTTGTAATTTCATTACACATCCATAAGTGTGTGTGTGTGGGTATGTGTGTATGTTGCCATCTATTTACCCACATGAACTATTTTGTTTAATATACAGTAACAACCACCCCCACCCCCTGCATTATAACACCCATCTACAGTAACTATCCTGTTCGAAACAATGGCCCTCTGATTCTGTAACATATTTCACCACACAATAACACATACCGGAGGTTTGAGTGGCCTCGAGGCATGACGTCTGCCTCAACTGCTGGAGTTCCCGAGTTCAGGCCCCAGCGAAGGCTGGGATTTTTTTTTCACATGGACTTCTAGTAATTTCCCCTGGTCACTAGGTAGTAAGTGTGTGTTGTTGCGCACGTACAAAAAATCACTTGGCATTTGGAAATTGAAAAGAGCAGCCCAGACGGCGCTGCCCAGGCAAAATGTGGAGGATCCTCGTCGGTGCAACAGAGTTTGTGCACTGAGCTGAGAATTTTCTGACTCAGGCTTGAGTTAGAAGTAGAATACAGCACTTATGGATTACTGCCCTTGTGCCATCATCTTGATCCATTGTATAACATACCACACAACACAACACAACACACCACACCACACAACACTACACACATCACAATACACAACACAACACGCATCACAACACACAACAGCTCCCACTTACTTTCATAAGCGATCTGTAGCCTCTGTGTGAATCCTTTCAATAAGTCCTTGACCCTGTCTTTGTAGGTCAACATCATATCCCCATCTGTGGAGGTCAAAATACAGGTTAGTTTTTGTATTCTGAGATCAGTACAGCCAGGTACAGTAATTCTTGTGGCAACATATAGTAATCAATAATGTAACATACATCAATCATTACAGTAACATACATTAATAATTACAGCAATACAGTTATCATTATAATAACATTCAGTAATCTTTGAAGCAACATTCAGTAATCATTATATTAACCTTCAGTAATCATTCCACTAACACTGAGTAATCATTTTAGTAGCATATGGTAATCATTAAGGTAACATAAATTAATCATTAGTTATAAACTAACTGTTAGAGTCACTTACTGTAATTATTGCAGTAACATACAGTAATAATTCTTGTAACATAAGTAATCATTACTGCAGTCCTGTGCACTTTGATTCTCCATTCTGGGGAGATATTTTTTCCTTGTAATTTTGCTGCTGCTACTACTTTTTCTTCTCTTCCTCCTCCTCCTGCACTCACACTTAACAGGGTGGTTGATAAACTGCAGCAGTTTACAGCTAAACAGAATATCTGCAGGTTTCAGCCTCAATTATCCCACTTCAGCACTCCTAATTATTTGCCTTATACAAAATTATTGTTGGGGGGGGGGCGGAATTATTTGGAGTACAGTCTATCTATACTTTTCCCCTATAATCATCACCCAATAACTCTGTTGAAGTTAAGATCTTTGTCTTGACTTTCTGTCACAGTTACATCTATCAGTTCTTGAATATTCCTTTAAATTTTATATATAAAACACATATCTTGAGTTTATTTCCTCCTTTTTCTTCTTCTTCTTCTGATCCTAATTATGTCCTTTATCTTCAAAAAAAGCACAAATCCTCAACCAACCCACACAAAGTCATCCCATCCTTTGTCAGCACTTGTACCTTACCCAAGACTTTTTGTTTCTGACAGTACACAACAGTTGTCTTCTGCTTTGTGTTCACCTTCTGTTTTTGTTGTCTGTCCACTTCTTGACTGTAGTCCTGTTTCAGAACCTGGGTGTTGCATGTGCCTTTGTTTTCCTAATCTGATTCATTTGTATGCAGATTGTTGGTTTCTTGGTTTTTTTTTTGGGTGAGTACAGGCACCCTTTTTCCCCCCGCAGAAAAAGTCCATGACTTGCCCCATCATTCTCTCACCTTTTTAACTTCAATCTAGTTCTGTCTACATGTATTTGTTGTTCTGTCTTTACTCCTCCATCCCTGTGGGTCCTAGTTCAAGCATACTGCAGTTATACTGTTATCAGCTTTTCACAATGTTGAGTCTACTAACCTAAGTCTTGTTGTTCTGTCTTTCACTCCTCCTCCCTGATTCATACTCGTTATTTGTTTAGCTCAATCTCTCTCTTTTCTTCTCTCTCTCTCTCTCTTTCTCTCTCTCTCTCTCTCTCTCTCTCTCTCTCTCTCTCTCTCTCTCTCTCTCTCACTCTCTCTCTCTCTCTCTCTTACGGCTCCAAATTAGTGATTCTGTCATAATATTTAATTCTCTCTATTCTGCACAGGCAAAAGTTAATAAGTGTTTGTAGACTGTTACCCATTATTGTGTCCTTTTTTTTTTTTTTCAAGTTTTACTTTCACTTTACTCAGTATATATTATATTAATACTATAATATTCTTCTACTGACAGTACCCTTAAAAGGGCAGTTGACACATACTGTTGTGGTTTACAGCTAGGCTGTGATATTTATGTACTCTTTGACCTAAAGCATCAAATTTCAGCAATTCCTTTATTAGTCACTTTTTATGAAATGATTGTTAGGAGCAGTGGTATATTATTTTGTTTTCTCTTTTAACCCCCCCCCCCCCCCCCCCCCCCCCCAATCCACAGGAATCAGAATATTCTAAAGATACTTACAAGAAGGGGATGCAACACTTGTGAGTCCATTCTGAGAGTTCTCTTCTATGGCTAAATGAAGATCTCCAATGAGCTTGTCAAATTTAACTCTGAATTTAAACTCCTCAGCTCTTTTAGCTCCATCAAAAGCCTCCTTGTAAATATCTGAAATAATATACAAGACATATCAAATCAAAGAAATGGCAGATATTTTGCATGTGGGCTGGCAACAAAGTGTTGGCTTTATGCCAGGGTTATTTAACTCGCAGCCCTCAGGCCAAATCTAGTCTGCGAAAATCCAGTAAGTGACCCAAGGATCATAGCCATTTGTACTGCATTAATGGTCTGTCTACGCTGGGGCTCAGACCTGTGACCCACGATGATCCCTACTTTCAAAATTATGGCCATTTACTAAACTTGAATAGCCTGTCTGTATGCAATAATACTGTGTGTGTACTGCCAGCTAACTACGGCTGACTACTTCTATAAACATGAAATTGCAATTCTGGTGGCGACTAATCGCGCTGGCACCTACTTCGACTGCTTTATGCATTTATTGTGTTTGCATGTTTCTGGATGTTTCCAGAGCTAATTGTTTCTTCGCTAGTGTTTGAATGGGACAGTGAAAGGCATTTTGTGTTTATTTGCATTGGCACAGGTACAGAGTAAGTACAGGTTGATCCACTGGCGGTAAAGTTAAACCTCAACTATTAACTACTAAGTGGGTGTTGTGATTAAATTTTACGTTCAACTTTTTTCAAATAAAAATAACATTACTTATGATTCACTGATAGAAGTTTTAACAATGAATCAGCATCATAGCACATGGGTAGTAACCCATAAGTGCTTTGTTCTTCTTCTAACTCAAGTCTCAGTCCGAAGAAGCTCAGCACAGTGCACAGGCTCTGTAGCACCGGCGAGGATCCTAAAATACTTTAGTTGGATTTTTAACTCTAAATTTTGCCCGGGCAGCGCCGTTAGGCTACTCTTTTCAATTTCCAACTGCCAATGGATTTTTTCTGGAGTAAGACAGGGGTGTGTCTTATCACCACTGCTGTTTATCACCTACATCGACAGTATATGCAAGAATGCCAAGCCCGTGAATGAAAATGTTAGTAAGATCAACGAATTACTCTTTGCAGATGACCAGGCCTTGATAGCAGATACAGCCATGAAATTGCAACAACATCTAACATCCATGAATGAAGAATGTAAAACAAATAATATGAGAATCAACACTGAAAAGACAGAAGTAATGTTAATAGGAAAAAAGAAGACAGATCTAAACATAGCAATAGAGTGCAAAGGCATTAAACAGGCATCTGAGTTTAAATATCTGGGAACTACATTTACCGAAGATGGGAAATTGGATAAAGAAATTAACATTCGATGCAGTAAAGCAAACCAAGTACTGGGACAGCTAGCCCCCCTCTTACAGCATAAGACAATCCCAGTCAGCACAAAGAGACATCTTATTCAAAGCATATTTATTCCAACTCTGTCCTACCCGTGCCAGACATGGTCACTTACAACAAACCATAAAAGAAAATTGGTTACCATGGAAATGAGATGTCTTAGAAGGGCTGTAGGAGTGACCATAAGAGATAAGATCAGAAATGAGATCATTAGAGAAAAAGTCGGCACAGAACCAATTCTAAATTACATACGAAGACAGCAAGTGAAATGGTTTGCCCACTTAGAGAGAATGCCTTGTGACAACATACCATACAAAGCATACATGGAAAGAGAAGAAGGACGTAGAACACGAGGTAGACCAAGAACAAGATGGAAGGATAACATCAGAGAAACTCTACAACAGCACGATGTGCCTATGGTCGAGGCGGCCAGAAGAGCTAGAAACAGAACCTTATATCTCCCTCGACACCCGCAGCTGTAAAAGAGGAAGTGAAGAAGAAGAAGAAGAATGGATTTTTTACGTGCGCAACAATGCACACGGGCGTCGGATCTCACTACCCAGAGACCAGAGGAAATACTAGAAGTCCAATTCTATGTGAAAAAAATCTCAGCCTTTACCGGGGATTGAACCCGGAACCTCTAGCACTCGAGGCGGATTGACTGATTCACTGATAAAGAAGATGTAAAGGAAGATCGTTGTCTGTGTCACTTTCTTTGGGCCCCTAATAGGATAAGGATAAATGATGTATACTGAGACGATAAGAAAGTTGAAGAGAAACAGGGCTAGTAGGAGGCTAGAAGCGATGTTAAGTTGAGGCTAGAAGCGATGTTAAGTTAAGGCTAGAAGCGATGTTAAGTTGAGGCTAGAAGCGATGTTAAGTTAAGGCTAGAAGCGATGTTAAGTTGAGGCTAGAAGCGATGTTAAGTTGAGGCTAGAAGCGATGTTAAGTTGAGGCTAGAAGCGATGTTAAGTTGAGGCTAGAAGCGATGTTAAGTTGAGGCTAGAAGCGATGTTAAGTTAAGGCTAGAAGCGATGTTAAGTTGAGGCTAGAAGCGATGTTAAGTTAAGGCTAGAAGCGATGTTAAGTTGAGGCTAGAAGCGATGTTAAGTTGAGGCTAGAAGCGATGTTAAGTTGAGGCTAGAAGCGATGTTAAGTTAAGGCTAGAAGCGATGTTAAGTTAAGGCTAGAAGCGATGTTAAGTTGAGGCTAGAAGCGATGTTAAGTTGAGGCTAGAAGCGATGTTAAGTTGAGGCTTGAAGCGATGTTAAGTTGAGGCTAGAAGCGATGTTAAGTTAAGGCTAGAAGCGATGTTAAGTTGAGGCTAGAAACGATGTTAAGTTGAGGCTAGAAGCGATGTTAAGTTAAGGCAGAGAGAAGAATCGAACAGTGTTGAGAGTTAAATTTACAGCGAACGGTTGGCCACATGGAGAGCTAACTTAAAAATAAGGAATAATCATAATGAGAGACTTAAAAAAGATGGTTAAAGATATGAAGAATAAAATGTCCAGAGGACTAGCATACAGAGAGTTGAATAAATGGAGAAAGGTGAACATATAGAGAACTAAACATATAGAAAAATTTTGAACGTATCGAGAATTAAACTTACTAAACATACTGAGTTGAACATACAGACAGGAGAGTTAAATATATGCAGATGGATTAATTGTGTGAAGGGTTAAACTTACAACGAAATGCCAAACACGTTAAGAGTTTAAAAAAATAAAGAAAGATTCGGCACAATTATTATTTATTATTTAGTAATGGGACTTTTTATGTCCACCCCTCTACAACTGTCTCAAGCGCCTCGCGCATCTTTACAAACTTCTTCAAAACGTACTTCCCACTTATTCACTAACAAATGCAGATTGTCAGAAAATATGGTTGCAATCGAACATAAATACGAGTAACTGTAGAAAATAGAAAGTGTTAACTTTCTTTTGCAAGAGAGTAAAATATCTCCTACCTACACATACATACACTCATACTTGCACAAACACACACACACAATATATATATATATTTTTATATATATATATATATATATATATATATATATATATATATATATATATATATATATATATATATACTCATCAACGCCAAGCAGTCTGCTGCCAAATTGCCTGCAGTTGAATCAAGCCTGGTATTTCGGAATTACAAACATTGTTGGCAAACCCCAAAGCCACAGACGCCAACACTGGATTACAGGTGACTTCGTAACAGTTTTGCGGTGGCCAAAATAACTGCTATACGGCCACATAGTTAAGGGGATTTCCGGGGTTTGTGCCTGTTTGATTCATATCCTACCGAGCGGCAAGGAACAACCAACTGCACACAAGTAAGCCTGAACACGCATGTACGCAAAACGCTGGCCCTGTCGCAAAGCCAAAAGTCCACGGGAACGAAGACCCATGAATTTCTGCCGCATCTTACAGCTTGTGAACAAAGAAGGAGAAGGAAGAAGAAGACGAAAACAGAAGAAGAAATAAAAAGAAAAAAGAAGAAGAAAGAAAGAAGAAAAACAAAAAGAAGAAAGAAGAAGAAGGCGAAGGAAGAAGAGGAAGGGGAAGAGAAAGTGGGAGAAGAAGAGAAAGAAAAAGAAGAAGAAGAAGAAGAAGAAGAAGAAGAAGAAGAAGAAGAAGAAGAAGAAGAAGAAGAAGAAGAAGAAGAAGAAGAAGAAGAAGAAGAAGAAGAAGAAGAAAGACAGACAGACAGACAGACAGACAGACAGACAGACAGACAGACAGACAGACAGACAGACAGACAGACAGACAGACAGACAGACAGACAGACAGACAGACAGACAGACAGACAGACAGACAGACAGACAGACAGACAGACAGATTGACAGACAGACAGACACAGACAGACAGACAGACACAGACAGACAGACACAGACAGACAGACAGACAGACAGACAGACAGACAGACAGACAGACAGACAGACAGACAGACAGACAGACAGACAGACAGACAGACAGACAGACAGACAGACAGACAGGAGGGGGAAAAGAAAAAGAAGATTGGCATCCTTGAAAGTTTAACCCTACAGAATCTAGAGAGATTTAAAAAAAAAATTTAAAAAAGCGCCCGTTAGCCTACAGGTGTGAAATAAATCCCTGCTCCTCCCCCTCCCCATTAAAACAAAACTGTGTGTTACAGAACACAATGTTCAGTCCAAGACATCGCCCTCAGACCAAGAGAAGGTAAACCATAAAACATTGATTTACAGTGCGTTTCAAATGTGGTGCTGCCCTCACAATTTAGCCAATACCTCGAAAACTCATGTGAGGATCGACACGAAATTTCGCATGTGGCTCTAAAATTTCCACGTTCTTATGGTTTTATAATTTACAATTGCACAGGTGCTGCTGTTTTCTTGAAACGGCGAATTTGCTTAATCTTTGTCGGACTAATAATTTGTGTACCCCTAAAAAAAGAATGTACAGTAATTGACACATGCGTGGAGACTGGATATCAGTTCACATTTGCAGCGATTATTTGATAGCATAACACGCATACAATGAAAAAATATGTTAATCTATTCACGGGAGGCTAATGCTGGAGATGAGCACCTGAAAGTGAAACGCCTAAGTAACATGTGCTTTAGTGTATTGAAAATTCCCATTAGCCAGTTACTGTAAGCATGTTCACTGTGTGCTTCGAACAGGTGTCTGTTTCTTTATATACAGCACACATTTCCAAATGAAAACTAGATGTTTGTTTATATATATATATATATATATA